TAACATATTACGCAGTATGTTAAAGGTTGTCAGCAGGGTAAGCAACGTGCCACTTAACCAGCTTGTTAATATTCTGGTTGACAGGACTGGACTCATGTGAAAAATGGGCCACATCCATTTTATCTAACTCACACCACCCTCTTCACTCACAACTCTCCCCTTGCATCTCATCAGGCAAAACCAGAAGCCTATATAGAAAATTATATGCTCGCACCAGCAAGTACAAAAACTCAACCATACCCTACTTAGCTCGTGTTCTGTGCGGTAAAGAAAGCATTAGGCGTGACACCTATAATTCATTAAATAGTCAGTAGAACAACTGGACCTCGTCTTTCCAACTCATATCATTTATAGGTACAACATTTTCTTTCTTTCTTTTCCTTTTCTGTCTCTCTTTTTCTTTTTTCGTTATGTGCTGCTTTGTTTCTTTCTTCCGCTTACGCCAGTAAATATGATAGCACCCACTTTTCTAACACCTTCAAACACTGTTTCAGCTTTACCTTTGCTACTGACATGCCAATGTATTGTTGTAATAATGAACTGTGGTTTCCTCAATCTATCTAGAATTCTATTTATTGATAATGTACAAACTGGATGCAGTACTGTAGTAAAAAATGCTGAGAATTCCATTGTGTATCACAAGTACTGTTTTGGAATAAAGCAAATTATTATTATTATTTAAGAGTTGAATGATCAATGAACACAAAAAATTGTAATATAGCTCATTGTTTTGTCTGTTTTATTTCATTTTAAGACAAACATAAAATATTGCTACATTAAGTTGTTAGTCTTTAAGTGGTCCACTTGTAGAATGCTTTCCGTTCAAATGGGAGATCGGGGTTCGATTTCTGATCAACGCTCTGTTAAAACCCCACCTACTTTACCAGCTATTAGTAAACCTGCAAAAGAGGAAAGTTTGACTGTGGCATTAGCAATAACTTCGCGTATAAACAACATCACCGCCACTGCAATTTCGAAAGACTGAAGCTTTCTCTTCTACTTGGTTGTCAAGGAATGAAAAAGAAGTTCATTAGTTCAGATAATTGTTTGAAACTTTTATCTCTGTGTCAAAAATTAGTAGTAGTGTTTCGGTACCGAAATTATGAGCTAGTTGAGGATGACAATTAGAAATTTTAGGAATAATTGAAATATACTAATGTGAACAGCAGATACTGTTAGATCAAATTCTCAGCTTGCAATCTGAAATTTCTTACAGCTGAATTTTAACCACAGTTCCCTTTAGGAACTGCTGGATCAAAAGGCAGGATTGGGGAAAGGAAAGAAGATATTCGCTAGTCTGATATCAGTGTGGAAATCTACTGCAGTCATCATAAAGAAAAAGATCTGGATCCTCAACGGTGGTATTGAGAGATTTGGTGTACCTGTCACCGGAATCATTTCCAATCGCCCGCTGAAGACATTCATCAACTGATACCTTCGTTCCATAGTGAAGATCAGATCACTGACCAGAAATGATAAATAGCAAATGATTATTGTAATACACTAAACCAACCAACAACCTCTTACCTTAGAGATGAATGTGAATTAAACATACTCAGAAAACACTGTTGGATGACGTCACGTGTCAAGTCAGAATGAGAAAAGATGAGTTGAGCGTCTGAGTGTAACAAGGAGGTGTTCGGGTGTGGATGAATTGAAAGCTTGTAGGTAATCGTGGAGTCAACTATGAAAGGTTGTAGAGAACAGTGTAAAACTTAGATGAGCTGCTGAAACCCTATGTTCCACTTGGAATCCAAGGAAACAGTAATAATAATAATAATATAATGATGTACTGCTGATTGATTGACATGGTTGGCGTTAGTGATATTCAGCAGTATATGACTACAACAAATATCGCTATCGCAATACTGCTGTGACAGTACACGATTAGAAAGTATTTCCCAATCATCATACACATAATGGTAGTATATTCTGTTTATCTGACGTCTTTAAAATAATTTGTTTATTTACCTTTATAGGATACTTTACACTTCCGTAAAAAGTAGTTTTAACTGGTTCAAATACATTTATCACTTAGATTTAATGTAAAAAGAAAGTGAAAGTTTCACCATTATTATAAGTATTATTTGTGATAGAGAAAAGGTAAGAATTTCATTAACTTCGTGGGCTTCATTTTTCATTTCTGTTTAGGCATGGAAATACGTTTATCATTATCACTCGTTCCTTAAGATGCAAACAGAATATAAAGCGTGAGTTGTACGCAAACAATTTATCGATTTTCTTTTGTTACTTTCAGCTAGGTCTACAACTACTCACTGGGTTTCATTTCTTCTTCACATGATCTTCTCCATGTCACCCTTGGACGTCTGATGTATCTCTTTTCATTCAAGTGACATCAGAGGACCTTCCTAGGATGTGATGTCACATACAGGTCAGTATATGTCCAGTCCATCTCCATTTCCTTAGGTATAACTGTTAGGCTAGGCATGGGTTCTTGATTGGTTCGTTGTCAGAGTTTCTTGTTAAATATTCTTTCTGACAGGCTATCTAGCCAGCAAAAGTAGGTTCTGATGGAAGTCTACGTCAGACTGTTGGAAATGATTTCGGTGACATGTACACCAAGTTCGCGAACCACATGTAAGTATTGGCTTGATATTAGTGTTATTGATTCGGATATTGCTCTTTGAATTGAGTGGTGTATATCTCCGTACTAATTTCAGAGTAATCAACGCCTTTCCGGCTTTCTGTGTCTTATCACGGCTTGTTGTGACTTGCCTTTTATTGCCTTTCATTGTTTAAGTGATTCTGCTTATCCAGGTAGGTGAAAGATATGACTGCCTTCAAATTTCTCCCATTTGTGTTGATTGGTACTTGTTGGTGGCAGTTGAGTATCTTTATTAAATCTCACTTTACCATGTTTTCCTGACGCCCCGCCTTCCATATCTGTTCTGCAGACTTGTTGGTTTTTACTTATAAACCTTAGGGTTTATGCAGCAAAAGACATAAATCATCCGCAAAGTTCATGTCCTTTAGGGTTTTTTTTTCGATTCAAAGGATATCAGTCTTCTCGGTCCTCATGCTCTGACCTATGATTAATTCCACCACAAACAAGAATATTTTCGATGATAGGAGGAGGTATAGGTTTGCCTAGTTTAGTCGCCGGTCTTAACCCTGCTTAAGGAGGAAAGCGTGGAGATAGGAAACCCACGCTGTACAAACATCAGTAGTCACTGGAAACTTCAAAGTACAGGATAAATAAATTTATTTTCCAATGAAAGCGGGAAGACTGTTAACTCTGAGGACCAATGACACCGGTTGGTGGAGGTCTTAGGAAGGCAGTTGATCATTATTTATTCTCTCATTGAAAGTAAAACTAAGCATATGGTGGTGCATGTAATTTTAGCACCATATTGGAGGCTGGCAAGGCTACTCAGATTGTACAAGAAATGGCAAGATATGGTATGGTAGTGTTAGGAATCTGTGAGAGATGACTGAATGGAAATGGTATTTTTAACGCGTTGACTAGAATGAATAGAATACTTCGTTTGTCTGGATGACAACCACATGAACACTGAGGTTGTGGCCATCATGATGTCACCGACAGCGTCAAGGGCTTATATGCAATGGGAAATTTAAAATGATGTGGTATTACGAGTCTAAAAACAACTCACACCCAGCGGATAAGAAGGAGGACTTCTACAGACAAATGCAGGCAGTAGTAGACAAGACTTCAGGTGGTGGTTTCAAAATGGTGGTGTCGTGGTGTTCAATACAAAGGACAAAGTGGCATCCGACACCACTCAGAGGCACTCAGTGAGATGAAGGAGAATGAAGAACTCTTAACAGAATTCTGTGCTATACGAATGTAAGTTTCATATATTCCTTTAGTAATAACAGTCAGTTAGTTCATTTAGCAGTTCAATTACGTCATCATCTATATGTTAGATGGGTTTCAGATAGTTAGTAAAACGCACGTTCTTAAGTTTGGTAACAAACAAATATGTACAACTTGTTTTAATTTATAATAAACACACCGTAAGATGCAGTCAAATTAATTTTGAAATCATCTAGATCATTTATTTATAAATGCCACTCACACAGGAGTGAAATTTTGAAAAGTCAAGCTGTTTCACTCATAGTAATTAAGTTTATTTAAAGGAGAGGTAATGCTCTTGAAGTACACGAAACTTAAAGGAAATATAATTATGCCTACTTCAGCCTAAGTCTCACTTCTCAGTTCCTGGCTTAACTTTCAATGTCTTCAATGATATGTCTGTTGGATGGCATGTAACAGTTCATAAAATACTATCTAAACAATGTTTATTAAACAAGTTATGTTAAAGGTGCTCAATGAGTATTTGAAGTACAGGGCAATGTATATTCCATCACTTAATATATATGTGACAGCATTACAATCTCTAGTGCTTTTTGATGTCAAATAGAGGTTACTAACTTTTCAGAAATTAGATTTACTTAGTATTTGAAGTAGTAAAATGATAGAACTTGAAAACATGTCTGACTAATTGGCCATGAATTGTTAAGACTGAGGTCATGAGGTAATTTAGGGAGAATTTAGTTTGGTATAAGTATAGAACTTGGGCACTGTGGTAGAGTATAACTCCATTATGGATAATTTTAGTTTTCCCATACATATATATATATATTGCTCGATACAATCATCACTGAGTGGAGGCTAGTAAACTATTTTACTTCATACTACAATTAATATGAAGCCACAGTCTGAGTATTTTTAAAGATAGTTAGTATATACTACTTATTTGAGTAATTTAAGATTAAATCAATAAAAAAACTGAGCTAACCCCTTTTGTATGCTTCCCCTCTGTTCATCAATATTTATCTTGTAAATGTACTAATATAAATATTTACTCATAACTATTGTTACTCGGTTTAATTAAACAAAATTGTATTCCTTTCAAAATTAAACAGAATTATTTATCAATAACTTTTAACAAATAATAACCTTGTGATTGTTTTATTTGCTTTTTGAATTAGTCTGATTATTTTTCGGATCTTTAGGTATCTAAGTAAATATCTAGATATGTATATATGTTCATAGTGGATTACAAATTCACCTCAGACACTGTTTAGTGCAAGTTATACTTTCAAAATGAAGCTAACACAAGCTTTATTGATTTTCCTTATTTCATTCATATGCCTGACATTTGTACAATGCGACGGTAAGTGTATATACAATGGTATATTAATCCTATCTGTTTTGTAACTTCATTAATAGATAATCTCATTTTTGTACAGTCATCGTTGGTCTATATTTCCCTTCTGGCTGTCATAAATGATGTAACTTTGACACTTTAAGATATCTACCCTTACTAGTAACACCAGATTGATAGTTATACATATATTTGATAATTGGAAGCAGTCATTAAGATGCTGTACACCTTGGCTGCTTGCCTGTTAGCATTGCTGAGCAAGTTTTTTCTGCAGATCTCGTGCCAATGTCCACTCCCAGATTTGAAGCCATATCTCTCTCTATGCTGCCATCCAAAGGAGTTATCACTGAGCTCACGGTTGACCTCCTATAGTACTTTTATGGATAAATTGATTGGTCATTAGGGAATACACAGTATCATGATTCTAGTCCTCGGCACTGGCACTGAATGGATTCTGTCAGTCAGAATGGCAGCGTGGTCATCAAGCTGGGTGACTTGTAATTCCGATTACACGTAAACACTAGATGGAAGTATTTGAAACGTCAACAAAATGGAAAAAATAGTCCTAAAATTTTCTTATTGTGTACTGAAATATTTGAACAATTTATTTTAAAAATAAATACATTAAAATACTCTTCCATCTGAAATTGCAGTTTCACTCTGTTTAACAATTCCATCAATAAGAATTAATAAACATTTAGTTTATCTTATTGACACAAGCTATCAGTCAAATATCAATAAAGGAAGGTGAATTCAAAGTCAAACAAAACTGTACTAAAATCCATTCTAGATATTTTTTTGTCGGTTTGGAATATTCAACTAGATCCTGAGTGTGAAATAATACTTGACTAGAGAAAGAAGTGGATTAAAGTGTTGATCTGATTTGTATAATACTTAGCTGGGCATGATAAAGATACGTTGTAGTAGTAGCAATGAAAATAAATTTTGATCTGCATCCATCATCCATCTGACTGTTTTCTTGCATGTATTTTAAATTCCAGGGGAAGAGTGAGTAATGGATATTTTTGAAATTCTCTGAATTATTTCTGCTTCCTGATTTTCTTTGTCATCAATGACATTTCTTTATGCTTGTTTGAGTTGACTGATTTACGCTGAATTCAAATGCTCATTCTCCATTAATACGTTGACTCCTAGTACAGACGCTTCAGTGATGTCTGCTTGTTAGCATGATGCTGTTTGCTTGGTGGCGGCTAGCGATGGTATCCAAGATGCGCGTTCCGTTCTATTCGAGATGTGTCATATGGACGTTTGGTGTTTGAAACGATGGATGACGGGTTCTAGAATCACTAGAACCCCTACCACTCACTAGGAATGCAAGCGAATCCAAGTGAAGAGTTTCGCATAGGATGTAATCCACATCCTGGATTCCACTAGCAGTCATCTTCAATCCAGTGGCATCGTGAACAATGTGTTTACTAGACGAACTTAAGGATTTATATGACCGGATTTCAAGAATAAATCGGAAAATAAATCCTGTAGTTCCTTGAAGATAAAACTCCTGAAAATTAATCAAGTGTACTCCATAAAGTTGGTTAAAATTTCGTCGGGACAATTGCAAATGGACAGACAAATAGACAGATGGCATAAAATAAGCAAAAGTCATGGCAGGGAAAATGAACATAATAATAGTAAAGTAATGTAACAAAACTGTGCGTCGGGGGCATAGCGGTTAGGACGCTCGCCGACCATGCACATGGTCCGGGGTTCGATCCCCGGCCGACGCACTCCTTTACCTCGCTAAGCCAGAAATAATGCTGGCGAAGAAGGAAGGTTGGGCATGAGGCTAGCAACCCCATCCTGTAAAATAAACACTGCTACAGAAACTTCAAGTCACTAGCTTGAAGCCCTATGTTCCACTGGGGAACGTGAAGGATAAAAAAATATGTAACAAAAAGCGACAGCATCCCAGATTCACTTGTGAAAATACCACAATTTGTAGTTTACAATATTTAAAAATCAGTTCAGTTTCTCTACATCTCTAATCTATTTGCGATCTTAACATAAAATCAGTAATAAAGCCACTTAGACCAGTCTGATGAAATTCTTCAGTAGGACGTTTATATGACTCTATATTGCATCAGGCCATTCGCCGTCATTGTAATTCAACCATTGCTGCCATCTTTGATTTTGAAAATTGTAAAGCTTCAAATTCACTACAGCAGCTCATTGAGACTACAGTTTGTATTGGATTGCCAACGTTTCATAATTGTAGGCAAGAAAGATGAACAGTTTCCTTGATCAATCCATCTGTCTTGTTTCAATTTTTTTTTCAGAGAGCCTCAATCGCAGTTAGTCGTACACTTTTGTTGTGTAGTTAAAATTGACAGCCATTGTTTCATTTGTTCATTTGTGTGATATTATGAGTTATAAAGATGTAAAGAACTGCGAATTCAGTGACGGTAGTTTTAAAGATACTGTTAGGCTTAAAATCAGCGATACAGAGTATTTTAGTGCTTCTGATAATAACTGATACATTCTACTTCATTTCATCAAATGTGTAGTCATTATAGGCAGAATGAAAATATTTTTTTATTTATTCCTTCATGTTCCCAGTGGAGCATAGGGCTTCAAGCTAATGGCTTGAAGTTTCTGTAGCAGTGTTTATTTTTACAGGATGGGGTTGCTAGCCTCATGCCCAACCTTTCCTCTTTACCAGCTTTTTATTTTTATTACTGGTTTAACGAGGTAAAGAAGTGCATCGGCCGGGGATCGAACCCCGGACCATGTGCATGGTTGGCGAGCGTCCTAACCGCTATGCCACCGGTGCACAAGAATGAGAATATAGCTGTGAAGTTATGAAGGTTTTAACCGAAGAAGCATCTGTGTGCCTTCACTGTACATATATATATTTCTGGCCTGTTTTCTGAGTGAACTATTACATCAAAATATTTTACTACATATATATATATATATACTATATTATCATTGCTTAGGTAACTATTAGTAATAATGAGATTTGAACATTTCTCTAACAGGCCACCTAGACAGTACGTTTGTGTGATATGTGTTCCTTTTGAATTAGACAATTATATTATCTAATATTTTGTGAAATGCTGATTTTGCAAGGATTTGATTGATTTCAAGTTAGGTCATGAAGTCACATCAGGAATTATTGGACTGCTGTTTCACCATCCTTATTTAGAGATCTTCAGTAGAATAAATCCATGACTACAGCAGATATCGAACCCAGGACATTTAGGTGCAGACTGGTGTGTTCGTTCATCACATCTTCATCAATATCAATTCTAATTAATTGGAAACGTTTTTATGGACTAAATATTCTCGAAAATTTCTACATCAGTTCATGCTGATGATCTGCAATAACTTATGAATTGGTGTTTCAAAAAATCTAAGGAAATGAATGATTGATCTAGTCAGGTGGTCACAGTTATGGAAAGTATTGCCTAGTCCCAGTGACTGAAAGCAAGGTTTATGATTGCGTTAGCCAGGGATTGAACCCTGGACAGCATGTGTGGTTGGTTGGTATTCTACTGCTGCACCGCTGAGTAGTTGACAATAATAAAATGGCTAATTCGAATCTTGCAGCCACTCAGATTTTTATTCCATTCTCATTCATTAACAAGTCTATTCCATATAGATGGTCTTATTGCCAAGTGATTCACCCTATATAAGCTAAAAGGAAATAGTAAGGTCCAAACATATTTAAATAGATCAGTTACTTCAAGGTAGGCAGATATTGAGGTCTTTTGTCTTCTATCCATGTGATGAATCCTAAGCATTTCTAAAAGCTTTATCATTCCTAAATTATAACTGTTAAGTGTGCGGTGTGAGCGGTAGAGTCCCCGTCGGCCGAAGTTTGATTCTCTGCCAACTCACTCCTAAAACCTTGCTTAGCCAATGGTAAGCCTGGTAAAGAGGAATTATCTGTGCTGAGGATTAAAAGCTCAGGCTTGAAGGCCTACTATTCGTTCTACCTGAAAGGGGAGCGGCGAGTTGGTCATCCAAGGGTGACTTGCAGGAGGTCAGTTGAAGAGGATATGAAAACTTGGGCAGACTTGGAGCCAGGTGAAGATTCTAGCAAAGAACCAAACTCAATGGAGACGCACGGCTGAAGCCCTATGTTCCTCTAGAAACTAAAGGAAACAATGATAATAATAATTCGTTCTACCTGAATAAACAATTGTAAAGAAACTTAGAAATGATATCACCTCGTTGTAGTAATCTTTTGTTCGATAAAGATTCGAAACAAATGCTTTTATGACACTGTGAATAATTTTTCCAAGGAAATATTTCAAAGATACAGTGTTACTGTTACCAAACATCCTGTCTGATTGCATTGCATTATTTTTACTTTAGTACACGAGGAAAGCATCCGTAAGTTTTATTTCTTATTTACTTATTTCATAAGTATTTGAGTTACAGGTTGATTATAAGCAATTCGTGTCTAGTCCTTTGTTTACTGCAGACTCAATTCTGTCAGTCAAGTGGCCATGTGGTCAAATGCAATGTGGCCACCATGCTAGGTGGCTCACTACCACGGTATACTCAGGATTGTTGTTATTTGCTTAGTGGTAACGTTTCTAACTGCAGCACTGGGTGACAAGTGTTTGAATCTCATAAGAGACATGAATTCCTTCAAGACTGCAGATACGCCTTGCTGACAAGTGGCAGCTAACACGAAATTTAGGTCCAAGGCTTCCTGCCGATTGTCTCCAACCATCTAATAACAACTGACAAATTATAATTACTGAAAAAGGTAACGATTCAGAGTTGGAAATAGTAAGTTCACTGGGAATCAGGTATACTGTACACCTCCAAAGCTACAGGAAAATATAGTCCTCTGAGATGTAGCAAAAATCTTTAAAAAAGAAAAATGCCTAGTCTGACTGGTAGTGCATTTCATTAAATTATTTCCTCTGAACTTCGGTTTGAAATATTAACTTCATTTTAACTCTGATAGAGGTAAATAATGAACTATACGCTGCTTTTAATCGCAACTTTTTACCTATCTGTTATCGCTGAAAGATCTACGATAAGTTGCGGTTTTAAAAGAAAGTTTCAGTAGGGAGAAAACAATGGTTGGAGCAGTAAAAACCACAAAAAAGGTTTTTTAAATATATATGAGGAGAGATTTTAACACACTTGCAAATGGCATATGGTGTCAGTTACCAGGAGACTCCAAAATAAGCAGATACTGCCCAGAAGTAACACTTAGCTTATACACAGAAGATTTAGGTTAATCTTTAAAAATGGCGTTTGGATGCATTGGGAGGGGCGTTGCATAAGTAGTCAGAGGTCGGTGATAAGTAACTAATAAGTTGTGTAATGACGTGATGAGTTCAACTGAAACCATAGAAACCAAAAACAAGCAAAAGAGAAAGGGAAGAGGTTAAGGTGAAGGATCATGTAGTCAAACAAGAGGAACAGTGACGAAATTAATTTCAGAGGACTGCTGCCATTTTTCCGAGCGCGTAAACTGAGTTTCAAAGGTTTGATAGCTATGGCTGTGGCGAACTCGAGGATAAGCGAACTATGTTTTGTATTGATGGAGTAAAGTGGATTTCAGGATTTTCACTTCATCACCTGCATCAATGATATGCCTAGCGACAGAGCTTTGGAACCATGTCTCCGACAAGTACCGCTAGCAAATTATTGAATGTATATTACATAAGTGTGGCAAGAGAGTATAGAGGTTCTCGAATCCACTGAGTTTATAATATTATGGAGTTTTTTATTTGCTAAATACTTAGGAATTTTATTTCAGGCAGCTCTACACTACTGAACTGTGAAGAAAATGTCTACAATCAACATTAAAAATTTTTTTCTTCATTCTGTAAAGTAGTATCTTTGTTCTTGTTATTGTTGAAATTACTACAGAATTTTGAGGAAAGTATTTCTGTAAGTTAAAAACTAACTGAGTCATTTTAAATTATTTTTTATTCATTGATCCAGCATATAAAAACAGGCTCATTTATTTAATCGGTCCGGTGAGACGATTGTTCTGATAGGTGAAATAGTACACATGATGACTAGTTTGGTGGATGGTGACTAGCAATGGAATCCAGGATGCTCATTTAGTCGTATTTAGGACTGGTCATCCAGATGTGATTGAGTTCTCATTGAGACTCAAATCCCACACTTATCATTCCTAACGCTAGTCACCAACCACCACTGCCGAAGCGTCCATACTAGGGGCCTACATATCAATAGAGGGCGAACATTTCAAACCAATCAGTCAAGGAGAAAATCAAAAATGGGTTAAATAAGTAAGAATGACTAGTTATCTAGTAAATAAGCGGATGAAACACTTATTTAATCCACATGAATGTTCCTAGAGCAGAGTCAGTTACATTTAGTAGTGGTTAGTGATTATCTTGGGGTAATTTAACGTGATCTTAAGCGGTTGTTTTCACAGATGGATGTCTGAAATTTATGTGTACACATTAAAAGGAACTATAATATCTATGAAAGCACAAGTGATAAAGGCTGTGCAGTATGATTTAAGTAAATATTTTATGTATTCTTAATGGTTCTAGCCAGTAAAAGATTTTTCAGTAGTAATCCATTCAAATAGAGGAAATTTATTGAAGGATAACTATCCAATTCAATGGAAGATAGAATACATATACAATGAATACTGAAGTCATATCAAAGGTAAATAATACTGGAGTTTCATAGAAATAGCTGACTCAACAAAAAGAAGCAGATCAGAGAACACTTCGAGTATAATATACATGTCTTAATCAACAAGTGTTTCAGAGTTGAAAACATTACATGTCCATGGCATCTGCCAATAACTTGAGAATGTGTCATCCCAGGAATTGGTTAGTTTAGTGCCTTTTTAACATTTACAGTAAGTTGAAGGAAGCACTCCACTGTTACTAGATAAAACGATTACAAGATGCTTTGAAAGCTTACCTAGAAATACACGTAGGAATTTAATTTTCAATTCACAATTTGCAGTTTACGTAGGTCGATGTGAAACTCCATCTATTCACATCAGAAAATGTGATGTGACCGTCGTGATATGACAGATGCCAATCAAGAAAGCAAGCACAAATACATGATGCTATTTACTAGTGATTGGTACACCACTGATAAGCTTGGTTCCAGGCAAGTAAAATGGCCATGCTTCGATCTAGCCACCAAGCACTACTGGTTGATGTGAGTGGTCTCCAGCTACTGATATCAGTCAGTAAGCAGTATATGGCGTCACAAGGGAGTTTATTTGAATTGAGCTTAAATGGTTGAGAATTTCATTATAGGCTGGTAGAAACATAGCGTTACTTTCAGACATCTATTTCCTGCTTTAAGTGAAATACATGGTGAGACGCGAAAACTCTGCAATATGTTGTGCAGTGAGAAATATTCGTTATGTTAAGTCCCTAAAGTACTAGATAATTTAAGATGTGTTCACCAATGCTTATGAAATTGTTGAGAGGATACCAGATGGCATAAGTTCCAATTTTGTGAACTCTCAGTTTTACCTGAAATTTAAAATAGTTGACAAAACTGAGGGGAATATACTTTTCTTCACTACTGAAAGAGGGGGACTATTCATATACCCAAACCTGTATATATCTCTCCTTTGAATAACTAACTGCTTGAAGTTTGGTGATAAATGGATCATTCTATTTTATTAATTTACATAAAATAATATTTGTCAAGAACTTAACTATCAGAACACGCATTCACATTATTGGTAGGAGTTATCAAGTGCACATTAGAATCCACTGAAGTTTAGCTTTATCTAGTAACTACTCATTCAACTCTCAACTCAATTGTTTGTAACAAACGACATCCATATTTCGGGTTTAATAGGAATTCAGATTAATTTCTGTGTAGATTACGTCCTAATTTAAGAATGTTCTCCAGTTCACACTCACGTACGGATAAGGAATAGAACCAAATACTTTAAGATGACAAGTTGAACCAATTGACCATCTGGAAAATAGATTTGAATTCAGTGACCCATGAATGCAAACTTCTGTCATTTTGCTGTCAAGTGATCTTTCTTTAGCTGGTGTTGGTTTGCGACGAAATCTACACCTGATACATATATAGCGGCATCACATTTTTGGTTGTAGGAACGAAACTTATATTGCAAACATTGATTTCACAGAAATTTAATAAGATTGATTAAAAGTAATTTAAACCCATATTTTTGATATTTTCTTCACAGGACGTCACCACAATGGATGCAGTAAGTTTATTGTTATTATTATTATTACCATTATTGTTACTGTCATATATTAACAGTCAGTATAATTTACCAGAAGAGAAAATTTTTTATTTGATTGGCTAGCAGTAAAATACATGATACGCATTTTGTTTTATATTTGGGTCTTGTCAACTGGAGGTATCTGCTTCAGTGTTTGAAACGTTGAGGGTGGGGTTCAAGTCTGAGTAGGAACACCAATACTCACTAATAATGCAAATACATCCAGCTAACAATTACCAGATTGAACAATATGTGTATCCTGGATCCCATTGATAGCCACCACCAATCAGTGGACATCATAATAATCATCAGACATCGTTTAAGTGTCAGTGCTAGGATCTAACATGTCCGTAGAGAATAGGATTTTGGGCTCAGTGTGAGTTAATCAGTGGAAGACACAAAATAACTTTCTTCATTTAGTAGACAGCTAAAATATTAGGGCTGTTGAATTCAACAGTTAATTGTCCAACCTTCAAACTACTTGTCCATCGAAAAAACTATTACTGTAATTATTATTACCTTGGGTTCCAAGCGGAGCATAGGGCCTTAGCAGCTTATCTCCATTTCAACCTGTTTTCTCTAGTCCTCTTTAGCCAGCTCGACGATTACCCGTAAGCTGTCATTTCCTGCTCACACTATTTCCTTCACGGCAGTATGACAGGTCTGACTTAAGTTCTTCTGAAGGATCTACCTGACACTTGATGTACCGCAAGGGTCTAATCCATCACCGTCTCTCATCTGAATGTTTTCTGGATGACTGATTCTTGGTTGGTCCACTGCCAGAGTTTTTTACTATCACTCCTTTCTGGCGACCTGATCTTCAGTATCAAGACAGTGGAGACAGTTGTTGACAAAAGTTCACAGCAGGCTGTTGGAAATGCCTTTACTGAAGTGCGCGCTTAGCCTCCGGACCGTACAGAAGCACTGGCTTAAATGGAATTAGCATTAAAAATTTAGATCTGTTCTCTAATTGCTGATTACAGCAAGTTTTCACAGTGATATCAGTCTTGATTCTCTGGCCCTGGCATTGACATCCCCATCCGTGCTGCCAGTATTCGAAACGATACTGCCTAGATAAACGAAAGAGGCAACTTCCTTCAAATTTTTCTCAATTAAGTCCTGGCTTTACTGTTTACTTGTTTGTTTCGACTGTAGAGTTTCGAATTTGTGTGATATTAAATATAAATCATCCTCGAAATCCATATCTTATAGAGTCTCCTTTTCCGTCCAACTCATTCCTGTTAACTACCAATGCACAGTCTGCCTAATAATCTAGTCCGCCACAATCATGAAGCTAATCGGTGAGGGTTGGACACCTTTTCTTACCTCTGTCTTCACTTCAAAAGGCTTCAATGAGTTTTACTTTGTGAATCACTTGATATGTCATATCATTACATGACTGATAAGACTAAACTCTGAAAAAATCACCAAATTACAATCCTGATTAACTAGTTGGATGAATGGATAATAACTAGATCTGTAAATAAACTTAACCTGTCACAAATATACTGCTTGCAAATTGTTTTCAGTAGCATATGCCACATGTGTAGGGTAGATCAGTTACACAAAAGACGGTTAGAGAACTGATGGAAAGTAAAACAAAAAAAAATAACTAAAACGAATTAATAATTTAACCAAATATGACGTAAATTTTCGTTTATGATCTTATTTCTTTCATTTTTTACATTTATCATTTGCCAGCATACCATTCTCCGCCATTGGGTAAGTGATCCAAGTATAGTCGTGTACATTAGATGAAAGTGCGAAATTTCATTAGAATATTATATATTGAATAAACGGTCAATACACAGTAAATCAGTAAATACACATCCCCATTAAGATCAGAAACTTGGAGCTTCACAAATAGCATTCAAAACAGACTGCAGGATTTTATCAACAGTTGCTTCTTTCTCTGGTTTCATACTAAAGATCAGATCATCAGAAAGCATTAGCAACAAGGAACTCTGAAGATGAATCAATCAAGAGCCTACTGTTCATTAAATATAATGAAAAAAATGGAGGTGGATCTCACACACGTGGAGGAGACCGTTGATTGAATCTCGTGCCAGGCAAATCCTCGAGCAAAATTTGAATGGGACGTCCGAGAGTGACATGGAAGATATCGTGTGAGGAGGAGGCGGTAGCCTCTGGACAATCGTAGGGTCCAGTAAACAGGACTTCAGAGAACAGGACAAAACAGAGGTATACTGTTGAAGTCCTCTGTTCCAGTAGGAACCTAAAGGAACAATAATATTAGAAAAGTTTAGAGCTAAGCTTTATTTTTATGTATCACATGTCTTCTTTTTGTTTCTTATAATATATCACATTCATGATATTTTTCATCTCTGTTTTACATATTTTATTAAATAAATCCCTCGCATGTCTGCTGTCCGTAGACTAATTTAATGAGTTCAGTTTGCGCATGTGAACGATCATTGTTATAACAATATTCAACTGAAATTCATGCCTTCAATTCTAATCCTTTTTTCATCTTTTGTTTCATAAATAAAGAGGTATTGTGTCATACATACTGTAAGTTCCAAATGAAATACTTTTCTTATTGCCAATAACCAACCAGATAACACTTATTAGGATGTTACTGTTTCCTGTCTTTTGGTTTTAACTGATAAATGAGTAGCAATCTAAGGGAAAAGCTTTTGTTATTTTTCATATTGAAATTCCACAATTTATATGTACTAATAAATCAACCAGAAACTAAATAGAAGGAAGCGGACAGTTAGTCTTCAATTGCTTGATGATGATGGTCAGCAGTGAGATCCAAGATGTACACTAAGCCACATTTAATAGTTGTCTCCTAGATGTACCTTCATCCCCAATGAATAGTAGTGTTCACAGTGAGACTCGAACCCTCAGACATCATCTCACCGTCAGTACTAGAAGCCAACATGTCAACAGAGCCTGAGCATTTCGGTTCATTAAAAGTCAATCAAAGAGAAATTCAAATTTACTTCAACAGATTAGTTTTCAGGTTTTTTCCTTAGATATCTAGTTATGAAGATGTGGATAAAATGGCAGTTCAAATGAAGTGTAGTGTTAGCCATCAAAAGTTGACTTTTGAGGATTCTGTTAGTGTGAACCACGTTAACCGTAATTAAGTAGCACATCTCTTTTGAGATATAACAATGATGGTAACTGGATAACTTTTCGAGTGGCATTTTTTATTTATAAACGCATCACAGTGATGGCATAGTTGTATTTAATCACCAGATCACTTCATATAAGTTCAACCAGGATGCAACAATGGAGATAAGCAGTTTGTAAAAAGATGTTCTTTTTCCCGAAAAGATTTTATGTAGAATTATCATTGGTTTACAAAAACCTTGTTTTCTTAATCTGTAAATTAGACTACAGATGAAGAAATATTGAAGACTGGTAGAAACAGGACAGTTATTTCGTCCTAGTTAGGGACTCCTCATCAATACAGATCCATAACTCCACTGAAGATAAAACCCAAAAACATCAGGTTACAAGATTTAGTGACCCCTGAGTTTAAAATACAGGTATACAATCCAGTTATATTTCCTTTCATCCTTATAATCAAGGTGTTTTGTTTTGCCTCAGTTAATCTGAGACAGGAATAGGCCAAATATATTCATCCGTAAATTGCCATGCCTCCGTGGCTCAGTGGTAGAATTTTCGCCAATGAAGCAAGTGGTCAAGGGTTTAATTCCCGGATGACGCACTCCCAAACCTAGCTTAATTGGCAGTAAGCCCGGGTATTAATCTAGCCATCTCAGCACGTAAAACACAACACCATCTCTACTGAAACTTCAAAGATCAAGTCTGAAGCCCTGTGTTCCATTCGAAACTCAAAAGTAAATTAAACAGTAATAAAAATAGATAATTTGAAGCAGAGTGTTATTCCCATAATTCAGAGAATGACAGACTTGAAGATGAATCAGGTTCTTTATGTATCCGCTTTATTGAATTAAAGAAGTGACAATTTCTATTTTAATTTACTACTTCCTGTCTGTTGATTGAAGAACAATTCACTCGTTGACATATATCATTAAGAAAAATGATTCTTTTTTCTACTTCAGATACCACTTCTTCGGTTAAACGAAAGTATGGAGGATTTCAATATTGAACACTTTACTATGCATAAATATCTGATGGAAATTTATGTATTTTGGTTAAAATGACATAAAAAAGACTTAATTAAAATTGTATGCTCACTCATTAAACTTCATTGCATTAGAGTGATGATAGTTTTATGTAATAAATTTGTCATGTGTTTTATTTAAAATAAGCTTTATGGAAGGGAGTAGTATTAAGGGGATCAGTTTATTTTATCGACATAATTCATTGCTTATACAGACATGAATGAATCGCAAACGAAAGCGGATGTCATCAGTGTAGACATTCTAACATCTACGAAAAGTATTCTTATTTCGACTGACATAGATATACACATTCTTTATCAGTTGAAGTAATAAATCAAAAGACATACACATTTTCATTCAGTATAGTCACTAGAGGTGATGAAGAATCCTGGCCAACGGCAACAACAACAAAAACAGACAACAGTCAGCATAAATGGGAGGAATTTGAAAGAAGCAATTCCCTTTACCTATCTGGGAAGCATCGTTTCAACTAAAGGCGGACGGAACTGATGAGGATATCAAAGCAAGGATCGGGAAAGCAAGGCAAGCTTTCATTACTCTCAAGTCTGTGTGGAGATCAACAGCACTCAGCATGAAAAACAAGATCCGGACTTTCAACTCCAATGTGAAGTCAGTGCTACTATACGGATGGATCAGAGACTTGACGCGTCACGAAGGTCACTTCAAACAAACTACAGACCTTCATCAACAGCTGTCTTTGTTTAATACCACTAAGACAGTGGCAGAAAATCAGCACCAGGGATCTCCGGGAGCAGGAACCGATTGTGCAACAAATATGCAGGAAGAAATGGAAATGGATTGGCCATACTCTGAGAAAACCATCAAGTGACATCACACGCTAGGCTCTCTCTCGAGTGGAACCCGAATGGGAAGTGGCGAGTTGGTCGTCAGTGCGAGGGTGACATGGAGTAGGTGATGCGAAGAGGAGATGAAAGCATGTGGGAAGACGTGAAGCCAGGTGAAAACGTTGGCGGAGAACCGAACGCAATGGAGACGTGCGGCTGAAGCCCTAAATTCCTCTAGGAATTAAATGAAACAATAATAATAATAGTCACTAGAGGAATGGATGGCAATGAGTTATTTCATTCATGTCGTTACTGTTACGCTATATCCCAAAAAATGATATATGTGTATGATAGCTTAGCCAACGTGTAACTGAGCGTCTTCCATCGTGGTTTCGCAAAGGATAGACAAAAACAATCCGTAGCTCGATTTTGTCCCATTCAGTTGATGGTGGTCATGTAGTGGAGAAAACGAAGGCTTTCAAGGTAGTTCATTGCATCCTACCGAGTCTTTCTAATAGACTTCGCATTCGTCTACTGCACACAGCTGAGGCGATAAACATTCGAACTATTAAGCCTAAAATATACATTCAAAAGAAGTTTGTACAGCAATTATCCCCCCCTTGGCCTATTAGGACCTAACCAACTGATGACTTCTCCACAACCCCTTACTTATATTTCCAACCCCTTTCTTATCATCCCTTATGTGTAAGTTGGGTGTCAGTATCAGTTTTGAGCAAGATCAGTAGTAAATCTTTTATATGTGCTTATAAGAAAAATAGCAGGTCTGGTGGTATTTTGAGAAGCCTCGGCTGAACACAAAACAAGCAATATTGTGTTTACAACGATTGCACGTCAACCTACAGACTTCATCCTTCATTATCATTGATGTATTTACACTGGAAAAGGGTGATAACATGATAAGTGTTATACTATATTGTTGTCCTTCCTCTAGAAATTATGACAAAGACTCGTTATGTACACAAGTTGGCGAATTCAAGTCGAATGTATTTTGTTTCTATAGATCAATACTAGAAAAAAACTTTCACTCGAATACGTTCATCTTTTCATTTTACAGTCAGTGACAAAAGCCTGTTTAGAAACCGAAAGAATCAACCGTTTTCAGAAGTCAGTAGTATATTCCGGACATTGTGCATTATAAAAGTGTTTAGGAAAAACATGTACGCCTTCATTGTTCGTCAAATTAGTGTTATGCCTTTAACGATACTTGTGTTTGCTTAACGTGTTATTCTCCTCTCGAAGTTGTACAAAAATCCAGTCCTTATTTATCACCTCTGTCGATGACTTTATAAGCTGTTCAGCCCCAATGCTATTTACGTCTTTGATGATGATCCTTCAAACAAGTTGCCTGACATTTGAATAGCACAGCTGTGAGACCCAGATGTACTTCTGGTCATTATTGCTTCATTTTCATTTCACTTTAGTCGTCGTCCATTGAATCAGCACGATTCTGTCAGTTCATGTCTTAGATTTCTTCACCAACAAAACAATATTCAGTTTCCAATGTTTCTTTCTTCACCATCATCTCACAGATACTTAGATGCTTGAATTATCTCACTATCAAGGACTATCTGTGGTGATTTCATTGACGATTAACCATTTACTGTTCGCCTTTTAACTCTTCACAACTTGAAATGACAGAAGAAGTCATAGCAAGAAATTCGGTGTGACGACATTAAAAACACAGTTACATTTCGTACACTCATACGTTATCATCTGCGATATTTGCAGTGAAATAATTTGGCGTGTATCAGATATATCTCATACCTCCTCTGGTTGACTTTCAGGCCAATAACTGACTACCGTCTTTCATAGTAGGATAATCTTCATATGTACATTTCTTCTAAGGTCAGTTAATTAAGTTTAAAATGCATAAGGTGAAAGAGATTAGACTAGTGGTATATCATGGTTTGTACGACAGTATAATATTGAAGGCCGCTGAAAAGTAAACTGATGTCTGATTGTATACATTTATTAGAATTTTCAATAAAACAACATCAATTTCAGGTTTATTCACATGACGTAACGATGTTACCGTCTCTTTCATAGTAGCAAATATGTAAGTTTATGATTCTGCTAGTCACAGAGTGAAATTAATTCAGGTGTGTTGCACGCTGAATGGGTGGATGAATATCTGGAGTGGTAATATTTACTGATCATTGCAAATTGAAAGGTTGAAAAGAATAAATCGTAGATATTACATCTTCAACGTCATCATTCAAATGCTATAATTAGGTTACTTTCAGATAAAATAAACTGCAACTGGTTTTTCAAAATGATGTTTACTAAGCATCATGCTTCCTAAGACAGTGCTGGGTAGAAACAAAGAGTTTTCTAGTATACTTAAGAACACACAAATAAGAAGATAACACGAAGCAAAAAAAAAATATATATATGTAAATGCGTCACTAACGATACTAGGGGTAGCTAATAATAAATCGCATTTGAAAAACCCAGTTTGTTTGGGAAAGTTGACAGTCTATTTGAAAACTGGAGGAATAAAGTTTTTAATAAGAACGGACATGCTAAGTTCAGTTGTTCCTGCGTTAAGGCTAGATCTACAGGTTGGTACACTTGTGAAACAAGAAGTTTCACACTACTTTCAAATATGGCCTAACAGTATAACGGCTTTTGGTAATTTCTGAAGTACAACAGTCAACTTGCATATTATCGATATGCATTATGTGATTTTTTTCAAAGATATATCACGTGTCGTTTATGCTTCCTCAAGTGAATCACTCATCATGCTTATCTTATTTCATCTAAGGGATATTCAGTCATAAAACTGATACACATCTCAGTTTGAGAAGTAAAGGCTTCCATCGAAGAGTCACTTTCTAAGCAATATCATTATCATGCTTTACAGCTGTGTGTGTGTCTGATGCGTCTTTATATCAGTGAAAAGAATGTTTCATAGGATGTGTCACTAAAACTTTGGGATTTAGGCAACAATTGTGTAACACATGAAGGTATTATTATTATTATCCCCTTGGGTTCCAAGTGGAAAATAGGGCTTCAACAACACATCTCCACTTTCTTCTATTTTCAACCTCCTCTTCATCTCGGTCCATGATTGAGCATAATTTCTCATCTCCTCCTTGCAACTCGATCTCCTTCATGTCACCCTAGAACGACCCACTCTTTGCTTCTCATTAAGGTTCCACTCAAGCAATGGCCTTAATTGAGTGCGATGTTATTCAACAGCCTCCTCAACGTATACCTCATCCATCTCTATTTCCTCCTACATATTTCTTGAGCGATCGACTCTTGATTGGTTTGTTGCTCTGCAGATTTTCTTCTTACTCATTTTGTCTGGCCCGGTCATTTGATCTTCATTACGGAGCCAGCCAGAGAAGACAGCTGTTGATAAAAGTCTACAACCTGTTGGAAATCCTTTTCGTGACATGCGGTGCAAATTTCTGACTTCTATAAAAGGACCAAATCCACATTTGTGTTGAAAATCTGAATTTTTTCTTTATGCTGAGTGCAGTGCAGGAGATTTTCAAACTGGTTTCAGGTTTATGAAGGCGCATCTTGCCTTTCTGATTCTTGCTAACTTTGACGTATTCATCCGTTCCGCCTGTAATTGAAACAACGCTTTGTAGATAAGTGAATTAAGTAACCTCTTTCATATTTTTCCCATTGATGGTGACTGGTGCTAGTTTTTGATGTTGCCGTTGGTTGTTTATCTTCATCACCTCTGTCTTCTCTATATTCACCTGCATTCGTGTCTTCGCTGCCAACCTCTTCTGCCAGTTTGTTGCTTTTCGCCTGTGAGTCTTCGAGTTTATGTGACACTAGACATACATCATTTGCGAAATCCAGATCTTCAAGAGTTTTCTTATTGGTCGTTCATCGTGTTCCTGTCTCCTCACTCCAAATGCACAGTCTGGCGTATAATCAAGTCCATCACAATTAAGAATATCGTCGGTGATAATAGGCAGCCAGTCTTGTTTTACTCCTGTATACAGTTAAAACGCCTCGATGAATTTTCCGTTGTGGGTCACTTGATACACCAACTGGATTCAGGCTAGGGACCTCAATAAATCAGTTATACATGAAATGCAACTGATCAATTAGGAATTAATCATTGTGAGACTGTAGTTGGCCACGATTTCATTTGTTAACTCCACACTTTCACCGTTGAATGAACATCACTTACATGTCAACACCGCGTAAATATAAATACATAACCCTGAAATGGTGAGTCAGTGCTTCGACAGTAGTATTCTTACCGATAACGTGGGAGGTCTCAGTTTGATTCCTAGACGAACCACTCCTAAACATCGACTAGTTAACTTGTTGGTGGTTAGCACGGCGAATAGTGATGGTTGGGCGCAATTTTAG